CCCAGCTATCTGTTGATGGTACATCCAATGCAGGGTCTTATCTTTTCAGGGCGTTTCCTCCCTTTGATCATCTTCCCATGTCTGCTCCTGATGCCTCAGACCAGGGGTAGGCAACCTTGGCTCTTTTATGACTCGTGGACTTCAATTCCCAAAATTCCTGAGCCAGCTATACTATGCTGGCTCAGGAATTCTGGGAGTTGAAGTCCACGAGTCATAAAAGAGCCAAGGTTGCCTACTCTTGCCTCAGATGTTCCCTCAGAGCCCATTTTAGGGTGAAGTATTCATAGAGCCTCTGAGTTTCGTCCAGGACAATGTTTTTTGCACTCAGCAAATCCTGACGACCTTCTGTCCAGCTGATGTACAGCCTCTGAATGTTTTTCTTCTTCTTCCCTGTCTAGATCAAACTTTAAACTGCCAGAATGAAGCCACCTTCCTGGCTTGTTGTTACCCCAAAATAAGTCATATTTCTGGTAGTAGCCAACATACCAGCAGACGGGTCGAGCTCTGTGTCTCTCTACATTCACACATGTCTCTGGATGTTGAACTTATGGGACTATTTAGAGGAGGGATGAATCAGCTTTTTGATGATTCAAGTCATACTACAAGCCAGTCTCCTGAAGCTTTTTTCCATCAAAAACCTTAGTGTTTGCCTACTCCCCCCCCCCACACACACCAACTTCCCATTAATTTATGTCTAGATTTTAGAGCACTGTGTGCCTTCCGCGGATTGCCAAATACAACACATTTTTTAAATTTAACAGTTTTACTGCCAGGAAAAGGTGCACATTATTTATATAAGCAGCAGGAAAAAGAAATCAAACCAGACGGTTTTCTATAGGTCCTGCCAAATGAAGGAATCCTGAAAGTGACTACATCTGCTTTTTTTAAAAGAGGATCAGATTGTGTGTGTGTGATTAGCACCCCAATGATATTTGGCAGAGGAGGAGGAAAATGTTCTCTTTTCTTATTTTTCATAAAGTGATTGAGGGGCAGAAATAATATATATTCTTCTTTTGCTTTTTTATAAATGTTATTGCTTTTAAAATAATGACAGAAAAAGAAATAAAACAAAGGGAACAAAGTGCAAAGATACACATATTATCCTTTACATTATTGAAATTCATTTTCAACATTAAACAAAAATCAAGAACAGAAGGGCATAACCTCATACTGACAGGAAGGACGTTAAAAAGTAATATTCAAAAGTATTACTCCATGGAAAGAGTAGTGGAAGACTGGAACCAACTTGCAGTGGAGATAGTGGGTCAGTAACTGAACCTAAAACATTCTTGGGATAAACAAATGTCCATCATCCGACATAAAAAATAATAATTAAAAATATTAAATACATAAATTAAAAAGAACACAAAACAAAAAAACCTGAAAGTACCTAGGTCTTTTTCCGCTGTCCATTTTCTGTTTCTATGTTTCTATCCAAAAATACTTAATTGAAGAAGACTACAACACGAAAAAAGTTAAAATATAAATCGAGAGAAACAACGTAAAACTACTTCCTGACAGTTAGAACAATTAACCAGTGGAACAACCTGCCTCCAGAAGCGGTAAATGCTCCAACATTGGAAGTTTTTAAGAAGAGACTGGACAGCCATTTGTCTGAAATGGTATAGGGTTTCCTGCCTGAGTAGGGGGTTGGACTAGATGCCCTCCAAGGTCCCTTCCAACTTTACTATTATTATTATTATTATTATTATTATTATTATTATTATTATTATATCAGGAAACAGTTATAATTCTATATATAATTACAGGTAACCCTTGACTTACAACCATTCATTCATTAAGATCCATTCATTTAGTGACCATCTGAAGCACTGAAAAAAGTGACTTATGCCTGTTTTTCACATGATCTTCACAGCATCCCCAGGGTCATGTGATCAAAATTCGGAAGCCTGGCAACGGGTTCATATTTATGACAGTTGCGGTGAACCGTTTGTGAACCTCTGATAGGCAAAGTTAATGGGGAAGACAGATTCACTTAATAGCCGTGTTACTAACTTAACCGCAGTGATTCACTTAACAACTGTGGCAAGAAAGATCGTAAAATGAGGTAAAATTAATTGTCTTGCTTAGTTACGGAAACGTTGGGCTCAGCTGTGGTCATAAGACTACCTGCAAAGAAACAGTGGAGAAAATAGAAGACCATAGATAATAAGGAAAATAAAACCAAGAGAACAGCCAGACTTTTAGGGACTTTCAAAACATCTTCGGATAGGGGAGAGCGATACACAGATGTGGCAACAGAGGAGGCATCCTTCCAGGATCCCAGTGGACCCATTGTTTAATCAGGGGGGACAGAGACATCTAGGGCACATCTGGCAAATTGAGGGTCATGGAGTCAAGAGATGAAGGATAATACTGAATATCAAGACTGGAGAAACATGTTCACCTACACTGGAGTCCTCAACTTATGGCTTCAACTGAGCCCAAACTTTCTATTGCTAGGTGAGACATTTGTTAAATGAGTTTTGCCCCATTTTACGATCTTTCTTGCCACAGTTGTTAAGTGAATCATCGCAGTTGTTAAGTTAGTAACATGGATGTTAAGTGAATCTGGCTTCCCCATTGATTTCGTTTGTCAGAATGTCGCCAAGGGTGATCACATGATCCCAGGATGCTGCAACCATTGTAAATATGAACTGGTTGCCAAGCGTCTGAATTTTGATCACATGACCAATGAGATGCTGCAATGGTTGTAAGTGTGGAAAACGGTTGTAAGTCATTTTTTCCCAGTGGCCTTGTAACTTTGAATAGTCACTAAGCTAACCGTTGTAAGTCAAGGACTACCTGTACTTTTCTGGGGCCACTATTACTACTCAGTAATTATCTCCACAGAATTATAGGAGGGAACAGAAACAGAGAAAATACCCCAAGGACTCGCTATCCTAATATAAGCAGTCCTCAAAATTGGGACTAGAATTTCTGTTACTAAGCAAGGCAGTTGTTAAGTGAATTGCATTTGGTTTTACCTCCTTTTTGCCACAGTCGTTAAGCAAATCACTGCAGTTCTTAAGTGAAACATGCAGTCGTGAAGCGCATCTGACTTCTGCCCCACTGGCTTTGTTTGTCGGAAGCCGACTCAAAAAGTCACTAATGGTGATTACATGACACCGGGGTGTTTATTTATTTATTGACTTCTATGTCACCTGTCTCGCCAAGGTGATTCTAGGACCCTTGCATTAGTATAAAACATGCTTGTTGTCAAGCATCCACATTTTGATCACGTGGCCATGGGGATGTTGTAATTGTTGCAAGTGCAAGGAGTCACTTTTTTCAGTACTGTTGTAACTTTGAATGGTAACTAAACAAATGGTTGTAAGCTGAAGACTCCCTGTACTCTAAGAATATACCGTATTTTCCGGCATATAAGACGACTTTCTAAACCATGAAAATCTTCTCAAAAGTTGGGGGTCGTCTTATACGCCCAGTCGTCTTATATGCCGGAAAATATCCGCATGTGTGTCGGAGGCCAGCTGGCAGGGCCGGGAGGGAAGAAGTGGTGCCTTCCGAGTGGGAGCTATCACTCCGGCCGTGCCCTTCTTGCATGCGATGGGCTGTGCGGCGTGGAAAGGGGCTCCCGTGACCCCACTGCTGCGATGGCGCTCAGGAGGCTGGAGGGGCGGGCAGGTCCCGGTGGGGTGGCTGGGAGAGGGCAAGAGGTGCTGGGATGAGGATGGAGGGCTCCAGGTTGGCGGGTGTGAGAGTGCAGCCAGCAGTTCCAAGGCGCGCGGATCCTCCGCACAGCTCCCGAGGCCCCAGATGTGCCACCGCTTGGCTCTCCACCAGGCTCTCTGCCAGAGCCTCCCCCCTCCCCAGGCAATTGTGCGGAGCTGCTTGTGCGTCCTTGGCAACGCCTCCCCCCTTCAATCTCTCTCTCCTTCCTTCCTTCCTTCCTTCCTTTCCCCTTCAATCTCCTTCCTTTCCCCTCCAATCTTCCTTCCTTCCTTCCTTCCATCTCCATCCCTTCCCCTTCAATCTCTCTCTCCTTCCTTCCTTCCTTCCTTCCTTCCTTCCTTCCTTCCTTTCCCCTTCAATCTCCTTCCTTCTCCATCTCCTTCCTTTCTCCTTCAATCTTCCTTCCTTCCTTTCCCTTCTTTCCCTCCCAACATTTTTGAGCAAGGAAGAGTAAGCTTCTCCAGCGAGCATTGCTACTGTATTTTCCGGTGTATAAGATTACTTTCTAAACCATGAAAATCTTCTCAAAAGTTGGGGGTCGTCTTATATGCCCAATCGTCTTATACGCCGGAAAATACGGTAATACCCTAATCAAGGAACTACCAAAGAGAAAACAAAGCCACCACCAATGCTGGCGAGTTACTGTATATAAAAAAGGAGCAAGCCCCACACTCACTACCACTGATATCGTTACCTAGTTGGATAATGAAACATCTGCAAGCAAACAACCAAGTTCAGACAGCATCAAGAATTCCCCAAAATGTGCCTGTTTTAAAATAACGGCATTGTAAAGGCATCATTCACAACTTAGTTCACATTAGGACATGCAAGCACCCTACTTTGAAAATAAATCAGTGCTTTCTCCAGGGGACATCTAACTTTTTTGTAGGACTTCAAAATAATAAACCAGAACAGGACAATTCATTGCCTCAGTCAACCCCATCAAGCACATGCATAAAGAGGAGAGCAAAAGGATCTGATACGTTTGCCCATAATAAACAACCGGTACATTGAGAAGATTTCCAAGCCTGTTGGAAGCAAACCAAGTTCCACAGAATGATGGGGCAGAGGAAGAGTGCCTTGAGCTCTTCCATGCCCGACAGGGGGTGCTGTGGGAATGGGCAGCTGGCACAAGAGGGCCTCCCCCGTTCCTGAAAGGGTCCAATTTAAGCGTCTGCTTTTTTAAGAGCACCATACCCCTGCACACAAACACATCCAGACTGTCTATGAACCTCACAGCTTAAAATAACCCTCGCTGCCTGGATGATGGCTGAGGAACACTAACAGGTGCTCTGTAGGCTTGCCAAGGCACCAGGGTGGCTGAGGTAGCTGCTGTGCTCCTTGCCAAGTTGGGGGCACTGCCTCGAAAACACACGAGTGCGGGGAGATCGCTCGACAACTTTTCGGCACTGCTTGCAGTGTGTTGACCTAGATAAAACTTAGAAAAAGCTGGGCAACAAACCCAAGCACAAAACCTGGCTCAGAGCTTGGGTGTTTACGGGCAGCAGACAAGCTAGCTTTTATTTTTTTTTTTCTGGACAAAATAGATTCCCTAAACAAGCAGGGATCAGGAAAGGGGGCTATGATGTGGCCAAACTTTTTCCTTCAGGACCGGGAGCAGCGCATAGCCATGCGCAGGAGGGGAGAGACTTCACGGCAGAAACTTCTGGCGGATGAGCAGGAAGGCAAGATCAAGCTGGCATTCTTTGTGGCCATTGTGGGGATGACCCTGACAGTGCTGGCGGTGGGCACAGAATTCTGGGTGGAACTCAACACCTACAAGCAGAACCATTCCGCCATCTGCGAGGCCGCCCACTTCGGCTTGTGGAAATTCTGCTACAAGAAACTCTGGGTCTACGATGTGGGAGAAGAGAGAGACACCTGCGGGCCTGCGGAGTTACCTGGTGGTAAGAGTGCTTTGAATTCCCTTCCTATATAATAATAATAATAATAATAATAATGATGATGATGATGATGATGATGATATGCTCCTTGGGTGCAATCCCAAAACAACTGGAGCACCACTTGAATACCATTGGCATTGACAAATTCGCTATTAGTCAATTGTAAAAGGCGGCCTTACTAAGAACTGCTTCTATCCTGCGACGATATCTGTAATACCATCAAACATCCACATCTGCCTGTCCCAGGTCCTGGGTAAGGACTCGATAAGTAGACAAAATGCCAAATCCAGTCTGAACATCTGGCTGATGATCCATAATAATAATAATAATAGAATTGGAAGGGGGAGGTCTTCTAGTCCAACCCCAGAAAAATGGTTGTCCAGTCTCTTCTTAAAAACTTCCAGTGTTGGAAGTATTTGCTCTTCTTCTCTTTGCTAAATTCTTCTAAATATGTTCTCCAACTCTGTTTGGAATAGTCAACTTTGTAGACCTCTTTAGTGTCTTTTGCTGGTCTCCTTCAACTCCACATCCAGTTGCTGCTCCTTCATACATAGATTTTTGCTGCTGCAAGGAGCTTGTCCTTTTGTTGCCGGAAATGTGCCTGGAGGTAGGATGGATGAGACCAGTCCTGGAGAAGATAGATGGGATTGCTGCCCTTCTCACCTCCCCAGAAAACCCAACCCAACTTTCCATAAACATTTATTTTTTGTCTCACATACACACACACATACATATAATTGAAAAGACTTTGCATTTGTACTCTTGTTCCAGGAGATGTGCCTGGGGGGTGGGATGGATGAATTCAGCATAGACAGGGGAGATCATTGTCCTGTTCACCTCCCAACTCAACTTTCCACACATATTCTTTCTATCTCACATACACATAATGCACACACAGACATGTAACTGGGAAAACTTTATACTTGTACTTGTGTTCCAGGAGATGTGCTTGGAGTTGAGATGGGTGAGGCCAACTGGTGAGATCCCTGTCTAGCTCACCTCCCCAGAAAATCCAACCCAAATTTTCCATGCACATTCTTTCTGTCACACACACACACACACACACACACACACACACAAACACACACCACACACACACACCACACACACACACGTAATTGGAAAGACTTTGCACTTCTATAGCCATTCACCATCTATTCCATCACCAATGGACTCCCCTTAGCCAGCCAAACAGCTGCTACTCCTGAGTGGTGCCTTCCTCATAACTATTATGCCACCTGGCAATTTATGAAGATGTTGCTGCCACTCAGGGGAGAATGTTGCAGCTGAAGAGAAAAATGTATGGGGAAGAGTTTGTGGGTACTGATGTCACACAAAATTACTAATAGTGTTTTTACATGGAAGCATAACATGTGCATCTCGCATAGAATCATAAGGCATGGCACAAGCAAGATAATGGGGGCAATTTGAAGATAAGGGTTTGGCAGCCATTAGTGAATCTGGGGCTCTTATCCTTAGTGTAATGGAATCGCTGCAGGGCTTACTAAATTACACTTTTCAGCAGTTCCAGCTAGCAAGACCAGGGAAGAAGGGCGTTGTTGCACTCCTGTCTTGAAAGTAATGCTAATTTTCCTGCTTAGACATATTCACTCTCCTCATCTATTCACAAACCCCAAACTGATGCATGGCATCTGTCTCTCCTCTCTTTCTACCCCTCCCTTCCATTCCACATATACCCAGGATGCTTATAATCAATGACTTCAGGCTTGGCCCCTTTTTGCAATGATAGACGAAGAACTTGTTATGAAGAATTGCTGCAGTGTTTATTCCCTTTCACTAATTATGGGTGACTAAGGCCCTGCTAGCACATTTTGCAATTCCAGTTTCCACAAGCGCATTCCCTCTTTGAATGGAGAATTGTCTTAACAACAGCTTTCCTCATCCCGATGGACCAGAGCCAGTTGCCCTGTTGTCCGGGGGATTATAGAAGTTATTCTCCCAATGCATCTAGAGGCCACTGAATTGGTAAAAATGGTTGTTTAAACTAGGACAGCATCCATTCATGAGTGTCTGACTTCAGAAGCTCTTATAGGGCCCCAGGAAATAAATCTTCCCGATTAGCACATTTTTCTTTGATCCCGTCGATCCATCTCATCATTTCCCCTAAACATTTATTCCATTCCATCATTGGCCTCATCAGATGATCCAGGTATTTTACTTGCTGAGCACTATCTTAATAATCAGTCTTTGTTTTAATTCAGGATTGATTGGTGGGGTTCTCCGTGCAATCCCTCTGTTCTTCACTATTGGAAAGTATATATCACGGTTCTTTTGTTCTTTTTAAATGTCCAGCTCTCATTCTCATATATAATTACTGGAAGGACTATGTTATTGTTAGTTGCAAAGTCGTGTCCAACCCATCGCGACCCCATGGGCAACATTCCTCCAGGCCTTCCTGTCCTCTACCATCTTCTGGAGTCCATTTAAGCTCATGCCTATTGCTTCAGTGACTCGATCCAGCCACCTCATTCTCTGTCGTCCCCTTCTTCTCTTGCCCTCAATCTTTCCCAGCATTAGGCCCTTCTCCAGTGAGTCCTTCCTTCTCATTAGGTGGCCAAAGTATTTGAGTTTCAACTTCAGGATCTGGCTTTCTAAAGAGCAGTCAGGGTTGATCTCCTCTAGGACTGACTGATCCTGGGGTCATATGATCACTTTTTGCAACCTTCTGACAAGCAAAGTCAATGGGGAAGCCAGATTCACTTAAGAACTGTGTTACTAACTACAGTGATTCACTTAACCACTGTGGCAGGGAAGGTTATAAAATGAGGCAAAATTCACTTAACTGTCTCACTTAGGAATGGAAATTTGGGCTTAATTGTGGTTGTAAGTCGAGGACTATCTGTATGGCTTTCTCTATTCACTTTTTCTTTTCATTAAATGTCATAGAATCAGAGAGTTGGAAGGACTCTTCCAGTCTAACTCAGGGAAGGAAACCTCCTATCATCCCAGACAAATGGCTGTCCAACCGTTACTTGAAAACATCTAGTAATAAAACATCCACGATTCTAGCAATCATCTCTTTAACAATTTTGCCTAATCTTGTTATTGCTTATATTTCTAAGTTTAAACTCTATTTTTCTACTTCAGCCTACTTTCCACCTTTTTCTATTCTTGGCCCCTTGAAAATAAAATCATCTACCAATTTCACTTCTTCATTCGTTAAGCCTGCCGGTTAACATGACCTCAGCTTTTTAATATTTAACTACAACTTCAAATATTAATTTCCATTTTACATTCATTAAGAGCTCATCTAGATTCTCGTTACCTCCAGCTACGAAATTGATCCATCTGTGTATTTCAAATAGTTTTTTTCACCTTCAGATTTTAATTTCAGCTGTCATCACTTCCATTTGCTGTATGTTATGGGAATATATATCTGTATTATATTCTGAACTACAGTGGTACCTTGGTACTCAACTGCTTTGAAACTCATTGAATTTGGTACTCGATGCATTTTTTACGTAAATGTTTTGTCCTGATACTTATTGTTTGTTTGGTACCCAACACACGCTAGAATCTGTCAGTGTCAGTTGCCTTGTGACTCACTACATTATTCCTTGTGGAGGGAAAAAAACTTTTTAAAAACTTTTTTATTGGTTTATCAAAATATTAAATACAAAGAGAAAAGAAAAAAAGTGGTGTAAAGGCACCAACTTCTGACTCTCTTTAGTACAGTAGAAGGTAATAACATGGGAAAATTTGTTTGGTACTCATCATTTCTGATATTAATTGCACCTCCCAGAACTAATTAAGGATGAATACCAAGGTTCCACTATATTCTGTTTCTCCAAAATCTTTTGTTATAGCTCCTCCTCCTCCTCCTCCTCCTCCTCCTCCTCCTCCTCCTCCTCCTCCTCCTCCTCCTCCTCCTCCTTCTTCCTAAAGACTCCTTACAAGTATCACATTATTCAGACACAACTTTTGTTGGGGGGGGGGGAAATTCCGCCTCTTTTTTTCTATTTTCTTGTTTCCTTCATCATCCATCTTATGTTAGCTTGGAATTTCTTTCCCCATCTATGGCTCCATACTTTGAAAACAAAATTAATACTTTGCTGTGTGAGAAACTAGGGCAATGATTCAGTAATTTGCACATTGTCTTTCATGTTCTTCAGTGTAGGCATATGCAGTGATCTTTTCAAATTTTTAGGTCACACAATTTCATTTCATATTCATTGACATATTCATTGGCGGGCAATTATGAGCATTTAATTGCTTTTTTCTGAAGCTTTATACAGTTTCATGGATATTTCCTCTGTTGCTCTCCTGTTTGACAGAGGGCCTATTGCCTTCAGTACCTCACATTCTACTGGAGATGGGTTTTGAATATATGATTTTTCTACATCTATTTGATATTTGAGAATATGATACCTACAAATATTTCTGTCATTCAACAATGAAAAAGGATTTCAGTACATGTAGTCCTCGACTTATGACCACAATTGAGCCCAAAATTTATGTTGCTAAGTGAGACATTTGTTAAGTGAGTTTTGCCCCATTTTACGACCTTTCTTGCCACAGTTGTTAAATGAATCATTGCAGTTGTTAAGTTAGTAACACGGTTTTTAAGTGAATCTGGCTTTCCCCATTGACTTTGCTTGTCAGAAGGTCGCCAAGGGGATCACATGACCCCGGGATATTGCAACCATCGTAAATATGAACCAGTTGCCAAGCGTCTGAATTTTGATCATGTGACCATAAGGATTCTGCAATGGTCCTAAGTGTGAAAAATAGTCATATGTCATTTTTTTTAGTGCCATTGTAACTTTGAACGGTCACTAAGTGAACTGTTGTAAGTTAAGGACGGCTTGTATAGTCCTTCTTCCCAGAGTTTGCCTATATCAGATTACTTCTGTGATGGCTCTTGCATATTTCTAGTTCAGTTATAAATGTCCCTATTATTTCTCTGCTCTCTTAAAAAGTTCTTTGTTTCCTATATTTATATGCTAAACGTGTTGACAGTTTGGCTGATTGGTCTTCCTTTG